TGACAAGTGATGGAATAGTTAATCAAAGCCTGAATTTGACAACTGATGGAACAATTATATAAAGGCTGAATTAGATAACCAATTGAATAACTAGTCAAAGGCCTTCCCACTTTGACACAATACCTAGGCAAAGACTTTTGAATTCAAATCTTATTTTGTAATAGGTGGAAATAACACATATGAAGAAGGCTGAATCCAGTAGGTACATAAACATTTGCAATAGGGACACAGTGAAGGCAAGATTAGATGGTCTGGAATTCTGGTGTTTTAAAAAAAAAAATTAGTTCAGTAGAAAAAAAAATGGAAATTCATTAAATGACATGAATAACTAAAAAACTTTAATTGACATCACAGCACTACAGAATCACTTATATGTGCTCTGTATCCTTCAGCACGTTTCAGTGTTAGAATGCTACAGATTTTTATAAATTTGTACTAGACTGCCATGTTAAACCTTTCAGGCAAAAAAGGTCGTAACCAGGTACAGTATCAGCAAATAAGGCAAAAGCAATATAAATAATAAAATGTATACTATCACAAATCGACTTGACTGTTTGAATGAATCAAGAACTGACATCAATACACTTGGGACATTCCCACACTGGCTCAGTTCCCTTTTTCAGTAGCCAATGAAGAGTTGACATGCTAATGGTACCAGCTGCAACCTGATTAAAAGGTCACCTCTGTTCCCCGCTCAAAGTTGAATATCTCCCAGAACCTCTACACATCTCTTGTTGAACTAGTCTTTCAGTGTACGGATTCCTTATCTGCTTTTCACCACATCTGCTTTATCATACAGCAGTTCCCTGTGAAGAGGTGCGGCGGCAGCTAATCTATCAGCCTGTACATTACCTCGCACACCAGAATATCCTGGACATAAAATCTCTTGATCTGGGTCTCATCAAGGGATATGTAATGTGGTAGTCTCACTTTGCTTTCCACATCTGAACACCTCAACCTTCAGCAATCCTTTAGATTGCCAGGGTAAGCCGGTACCCAGCTTTGTGATACTATTGTCAAAAGCATATACATGCTGAATAATTTAACTGATCCTATATCATGTATTGATGGATCAGAGTGATTTTTAAATGTACGTCCTGGACTCCAAAGTTTTCCTAGCCTAAATTGGACACCAGAAATAAAGTAAAACTGGCTTGTGTGATGCTGGCCATATCACCCATGGTGTGCCAGTTAGTCTCAAAATCTATAACCATGTATCTAATGCACCAATGGCACGATAAAGACCACACTTTTTACATGCACTGATATACGAATAACAACAGAAACCACAACTTAAAAAAAAATACACTCATGTTTTAGACAAGGCGAAATCAGAGTCCATGAAATACACACAAGCTACTCAAGAAATTAGTAAAAGTAAAAAACTAAAGGACCCTTTTCCACGCCTCTAGGCGTATAGGGCATATAGGGCTAGACCTATATTTTATAGACCAATCGGCACAAGATGGGTGATGTGGTCAGCATCACGCCGGCCGTCTTTACTTCCGGGACTGAACCCGGTACCCACTGAAGGCTGGGTCGACCTGGAAGCCAAGGTCATTTTTGAAGAGAAGTCCGGCTCTGCTAGGGAGGGAACCCACAACCTTTCGATCCGCGGCGCACGTCCAGCCGCTCTGCCACAGCGACTCCTCACTCAAGAAATTAAAAAACAAACATATGTGAAGGAAAGAACATATTTACATTGTCTAGCATTAGAGTTGGAACAGCAACGAAAGAAGATTATCTCAGATATATTTACAGTACCAAGAAGTCCTTGTCTTCTAATTTCTAAATTTATCTCTTTTTGTTACTCTGGCAGTTCTCTTGAGATGACCTTTCTCTGTTATGATTATATGCTCATTAGTTGCAGTAAGGGTCCACGTCTGGTACTGGTAGCATAAAGTCGGCCAAAAAGTCATTATCAAGAAAATATATCTCAACTTCCCTAAATGAAACCCAACATCAAGAGGGTGGAAGCATGCATATTTACCCAGCAATATAAACGTTGAAGGATCTGACAGAGATATTTTTTTTTTTTTTAAAGTAATTTTGTTTTTGAAAAGGTAGGAGGAATTTTTAACAGTTCCATGACATTTGTGGAAGTAAACAACAAAATTAAACTTAGTATTACACAGAAAACCTGACTGAAAATGTTGCTGACCATCAAATCAGTATTGATGTATGGTTCAGCATCATGGATGATGACAAAAACCATTAGTAATCAACTACAAACATTTATTAACTGGTGAATGCATGTGAAGTATAGGAGGATTTGAATAATGTGACAATAACAAAATTGAAGTTCATGGATACTAATTAGGTTTTATTTTGATATTTATAGCAGTGAATGAACACAAGTAATTCTAAACATACACATTTGTAATTTCAGCAATTCTTAAGAATATAAAATTTCAAGCAGCAGGTTACAAAAGCATTTTAAAAACTGATTATGTGTCTGACAGTTCTGGGTGTACGGCCTTTTCAGCAACATACTGGAGCTTAGCCAGAAAGTGTCATGGCTCCTAGGTGGCCATACAACCCATTTTGGGAATCATTGCTACAGTAAGGCACTAACAGTTTATGTAAAGATCTAGAAACAATCAATTAGCATATAGAACCGAAGTGATTAATCGTACTTACTTAAATAATGCAGAAACAAACAATACATTTCACATTTAATGCATGGCATACTTTATTGCTGTATCTGGTCGGGCGCATTACTACACAGTTAAACCCAAATATTATATCAACATATCATAAAGAAAAACAGATGAATCCTTTCACCTGAAACACACAAAATCACTGTTTTTAGCCACACTGTACAGCTTACAAATGGAAGTTCAAGATTAACTCTTTGAGTCCCAAGAAACGCATCACGCACTAATTGGTTACTACCTGGCTGCCCAATCGGTGTGTGACATGAGAAGGTTTTTAATTTATCACTTGTCAGTAATTACATGCGAACCACTCAATTTAAACTTCCTTTCTGGCTCTCAAGTATGTAGTGAACACAAGTGGAGTGCATTCGTTTGGGTCTATTTAGTTTTTAACGCTTTAAATCTATATTTGTGTGGTCTACTACATTACCAAACAATTGTCTGAAAACAATTATGTCCGATCAGTCATCGTCTTCACGCCCAGCAAAGCGATTTACTGCTTTAGAAGCATCAAATTTGATAAAACAGTGGATCGATCACAGTGATGTGGAGCTGAATAATGATAGTAGCGACGTGGAATTTCCCAAATCTGTTGATGAGTCAAGTTCTAGTAATTTATCTCCTGCTAAGAGGAAAACACGACGTGTTATGGTAGTGTTATTAAAATTGCTTTGGAACAACAACTATTGCACATTTTGCTTTAATATTGGCTGTGCATACTTATAAGTGGTGTACCTTCCTTTGTGATGCATTTTGGATATACTATATCAAGAATTTTGGGATCAGCTTTTGGGTAAGTGGGAAAAACTTGTTCATAATTTACTAACCTCTCAAACTAAGTCACTGTTTTCTTTACTAAATACTAATTAACGATATAATGGTTTGTTGTAGCAGTATGCTAATATTAATCTTTATCCATTTGTTTATTTTCATGTATGATATGTGTATGTTGCACATCAGCTGCAGTTGTTTGGTTTGTTTTAAAGTGCTGCACTTATTAAAAGTCAAAATCATATTACCCCCATTTGGGCCTCTGATGCAAAGCTCCGTAGGACTCAAAGAGTAAAATATGTGATTATATGGATGTGTGAAATGTGCTATTTTTTGTTTGCACAATGAGATATTGTTGTAACTGTGATATCTTTCAACAAAAGGATTTTAAGTGTTGTGCTTTATTTTGTGTTGACATAACTCTGTAGAAATGCATTTGATGACATACAGAAAAATATGCCTAGGTAATAAATTGGGGTAAACATTTCTGTGTCACATCATTTAAATTAACAAAACAAACAATATTGTTTTGAATCTTACTTAAGTTCACAGAAAGAAAATGAGGCTACACAAAATACTTTGGTAGCAGTGTACATATTTACATGAATATAAGTTAGAAACTAATACGCCCCATATTAGATACGTAACTAAAGGAAATACATCATCATCAAGTGCCTTCCTGACTGGTGTGGGTGGAAATTCCTCTCCACGTCTTGTTTTCTCCATCAATTCATGAACTGACACCCAGCCAGGATGCTGTCTTCCATAATTTCTCTGTCCTTAAATCTCTCAAGTTGTTACAGCTTATGAGAGTTTTTATATTCTTAGAATGCGGCAGGGAGACACAAAATGACAACAGTTTCTTTCTATGTTGTCTCACCATCCTTCTAAACATTTGGATTACTCATTCTGAATGTTCATTAAATTTTCAGCATTCTTTTGTAAAACAATATTTCTTGGGCATTTTCAGGTGACTGGTCGAAATAATCCATCATCAGCAATTGCGTGCCATATTCTAAATTCCGGGCACATCATTAACAAGGATGATGCATTCCGAATTATTTACAATTCGGCCAACCGTAGATTACTTCGATGCGCGGAAGCTTCAGCGATTGGCAGATTGAAAACGGAACTGTGTAGGCAAAAAGAAATGGTCGTTGCCCTACGCTTACCTTGGTGAAACAGTTTGAAATCTACTCGAATTTGTGTTTCAGTTTCTATGATTCAGCTATTTGCTTCATTTTAATTAATCATTTTTATCTTGTTTATTACCTGTCCAGGATTCATTGCCATATGTTAATACGTATTCTATTCTTTGTAGCATACAATCAATATTGTTCTTAACCTCCAATGACAGGGAAATTGCACATGTTTAAAAAAACAAAAATTAAATGCAATTTTTTATTGTTCTAAAAAAAAAAGCAAAAAAAAAAATTGGATACATTTCCATCTGATGGTATCTTGTGCCTAGATACTTTAATTTCTGTACTTGCGACAGATTATTACCACTGACTTTACTAGTACATTTAGGCTGGATTATATATAAATGAAGCCATAGTAATACTTGATAATCTACCAATTGTTTTTTCTTTTTTCAACTTTTTGCTTTTGTGTTTCTTCTTCGTTGTTATTGAAATATTTTCCAAATGCATAAATAAGGCCAACAGTCAGACCAGTTGCGATTCCAACCATAGCTCCTGTCATAACCTGTTCAACCTGGAAGTGATTAGAGAAGAAAAAAAAAGAATTACACACTGCCCACATAAAAGATTACATCTGGCATCCCCCGTCGGCGTTCCGGGACCCCATTGTGGGGAAAACAAGAATAGACCCACTGCCTCCCCAAAAGCATGTCGTAAGAGTCGACTAATTGGGGAGCTTCCTTTGAAGCTGGAGTGCTTCTGCCGGAGAGGCAAGGAACCAACAGTCTGTATTCAAGAGAATGAGATCTGTAAAACTGATGCACAAGCAACACTCAGGTTCTGGAGCAGGACTGCAGTTCAGTAGTGGACGAGCAACCAGAACTTTCCGCCAGAGTGTACATCTGGTGAACGTGAAGAAGAAGAAGAAGACATCTGGCATAACTCTTACCTATTATTATGTATCTACTGTGTGACTTAAATAAACACAACAAACTTCATTTGAAAGAAAGTAATCAATAAATATGAATAGAGTGGAGAATTAAATGGACTGCACTCTTATGGGCCTAGAAAATATATAGAATGACTCATACTTGATCCCACACCCTCACTGTTTTATGCAAACAGTTAAGTTCATATTAGAGACAGACTACAGATATAGATGATTTATATCAAGAGAATGAAAGAAGAAGAAGAACTGCTATGTGAATGCAAAGTCAAAGTAAATTATGACATAATGAACTTGAAAAGCTTTTTTTTTCTGACAAGAAAACTCGCCTAAATGCTATGTTTATAATATATATATAATGATACCTGGGGTCTCCTAAACATTCTGTAGGCTCAGCAGGAACCACATCAGGCTTCTCAGGGGGACAAGTAGCTGTGCTGTTAATCATCATTTATGACGATTCCACCCAGATGGGAATGCCGGATTAGTGGCCTCTCTGGGCCAAAGTGTTAATTAAGAGCTATACAGAGCCAGTCCTGACGTGTGGAAGTGAATCATGGACAGTTTAGCCCCATTATTAGGGTAACATGAACCAAGGGAGGAAGTGATGGACTCAGCTTGAGAGCAGGCGACCGACATTTTCTGGTCACGGTCTCAAGTTCCCTGACAGCTGGTAGAGGATCTTAGTTTACTGACAATGGCATTGGTCACCCAGCCAATAAGGCAGCTGCCAAGAAGGAAAGCAATGGCAAAATACCATTTTTTAATCTACAACCTACACAACTTCAAATTCTTGAGTTGAGGTCAGATGAGTTAAGAATTGACATCACAGCACTTGGGGCATTTCAATACACGCACGCGTCCCCATACTCAGCAGCCAGCGCAGAGTTCCAATACTAATGGTGCCAGTTGCAGTCTGTTTTTTTTCTTCCATCTAGCCTTTCCTATGAGCGTAGTGCGCCGGCCTAACCACACAACATCAAATACTTGACAACTTGGTGACGTCTGGCAGGATTGATGGAAAAGAAGTGGAAGAAAGTGGATGCTTTGCCACGTGGATGGGGTTAGATGAAAACAATGACCTGTTCTGTGACTCTGGTTATCATGTGAGATGGTAAAACAGGACAGCCTACACTTATCAGCATCATACGTGATGATGATGAGCTCGCACTGCTCTGTGAATATACCATGCTTATATTACTCTTTAATGGTTAAAGAATATCTCTTTTGTCCAGTATGAGTGCTCCTTTAGCTATTGCTTTTGTAACAAAACAGAAACCAAAACAAAAGAAACCTGCTTTTTTAATTCTCTCATATTCCTGCATGTTTTGGATAGTATATCCATGTGAGTCCTTGTAATGATGATGCCCCGAGGCTTGGTATCCACTACAAAACTCAATGTTTGTGCATTCCAAGACAATTCACATTCTTTCATTTGAAATCCGTTCAAATTTTGCACACTGTGTTAAAATTCCCAGTCCACATTCAATCAATGAATAGACCAGACGACTGAACAATAAGACCAACAGTCTCTATTCCAATCGTCTTCCATAGTCTTCAGTGTCACGCCTGATTACAGCGGGCTCTGTGTGCCATCAAATGTCAAATCCAAGTTTTTCAACCTATCTCTTCTTTCAACATGGATATGCCAGGTAGGTCTTCCACTCTGATGCTGTTATTTAGGGAGCACTGGAAAACACTGGCCTTCTCAGGGTTCAATTTTGACTCAGTCTGTTCACATCACTCCGTCATCTCATGCAAAGCATTTTGTCAGTCACTGGTAATGTCGTTCCTGTCTGACACGGTTTGATACTTAGGATATCATCTGCATATGTCAAAGTTCATCTTGATTTAACAGGCTGTATTTGGCAGACTTGCTGTATATATGTTGAACAAGGCAGGTGACAATGGTGATCCCTGAGAAAGGCCAGGGCAAATGCGGAAAGAATCCCATCCCCATGTCTTCTTCTTCTTTAGCATTCCGAGCCCTTGAGGTTCACAGCTGCAGACATCACCTGCTTCCATTCATCTCTCTGGTTGGCCTTCTCTTTCCAGTTGGTAACACCAAGTGTTTGCAGGTCTGTCTGGACATTATCTCTCCATCGTCTTCTTGGTCTCCCTTGTGGTCTACAACCATTCATCTCCCTGGTGTATACAGTTTTTACTTCTCTGTCATCTGACATTCTTTCAATATGCCCCAACCATTTCACTATTAGCTCTTATGATGCCAGTGATCAGTGATCCGTTTGTCCCCAAACAAAATACAACTGTTCTCTCTAACAATGCTGCCCCCAAGATTTTACGCCTCAGTCTAGCATATACTGCATCAAGATGCTTATACCATTGTCAAACTCAATGCAAAGTCAATCATTAAGTCAACAGAACTATACATAGTTCAAAAACGGCAATAACAAGAATGAAGGTGACAACATACCTGGTCACTTTTTGCAATGCCATAGCGACACCACTTGGCAAAATGTTCACAATTTGAAAAGATCAGATTGTAGCCCACTGTTCCAAGTTTTTCCAGAGCATTCCTCACGACTTCTTCAGGGTTGAGTGGCCTGTCCAACATAAATCCATATTTTTTTAAAAACCATAATATATAATGTTGAGGTTATTTTCAACAGTAAAAGTATTCCTATGGTACCTAAATGAAATTATGATGTGAAGTGTTAAGTCATTTTTTTTTTCAAGTCAATTTTGTAAAACTGAAAAAGACACACAACAAATTGCCACAATTTATTCCCTGGTGACACTGAAGTTGTCACAATAAACTGCTTTCATCAAGATTTGTGCAGACAAAAAGGTATGGTCCTGAACTTTGGTCTGCCCTGCTAAAACAGGCAGGAGCATTTACATGGTTGATTTTGTACTTCAGCTTAAAGGATTCATTTATTAGTTTCAGTTTTTCCTGAATGTTTTTGTAGAATGCATCCGACAAATTAGAGTGAAATATACCAGTCAATAAACTGTGCAATCTGTTTGTATCTTCTTTGTTCATACTCCATACTGTATGAGGTGGGGTCTCCAGTTGCGACACTTGCAAAATTTCCACTCTGAAAAATTATACTGAACCAATTTTATAAGTAAAGGGAACAAAATTGTCTAAGAAAGTACATCTCTAAGTAAGATGTTTCCAACATGAAAAGTGCCCTCAATCCCTTGCCAATTCACCTACCTTAAATATTCTCCTCTGCACTGAAGCTGGAGTGCATCTGCCTGAGAGACAAGGAACCAACAGCCTGTATATAAATAAACCTGATCTATAAATCTTATGGGCAGGCAAAACTCAAGTTCTGGAACAAAACCAGAGTCCAGAACTTTCTATGAGAGTTTACAGTCGGTGAACACTAGCAAGAAGAAGAAATTTATTTTCTTGTCCTAAGTATCTTTAATGTCCTATGTTCATCTTCATGCTGGTCAACCTCTACCTCTTATAATATACTTTGCTCTATTGTTCCTTCCAAGTCACAAGGATGTATAATACAAAAGGTAAACACAAATCTAACAAGGCAAGCAACCATGTAGCTCTGGAGAATCCATGGCAATCCCAAGACACTATAAATAATATCTGCTGTATGAATCAGAGGCACAGACAACAACTGCAACAAATACCAATAAACTACAATCCTTAATTACTTGGTGTAGGGGGTCTCCGTGGTGAAGTGGTCAAGCATTTGCCGCATGCTCTGAAGGTCATGGGTTCGGTTTCATGGCTGCATTGCTCAGTTCACGAGTGCAATTTTTACGAAGATCTCTAGAGATCATTACTAGAGCTAAAGAGTTCATGCTCTGTACAATGCTCTTGGCAGGCAGCTTACTATTCTGCGGAGAAAGACTGAACCATATAGCAGAAAAGCTCTTGACTTTAACCTTTTTTTTACTTGGTGTTGCAGAGAAAAGGACTAAAAAGTGGCTTCACCATTAACATTGAGTTTATCAAGACAACTAATCTAAGTAAAACAGGAGGTGAGGAAAAGCTGCTGGAACTGGATATAACACATACTGAGAAAACCTGTTAGTATTATAGCCTGAAAGACCTTTTTCTGGAACCCACTGAACAAAAGCAATAGAGGGAGACCAGCAAAAAGATAATCAAAGGCAGATAAATAAAACATATCTGGAAGAAGGTGGAAAAGAATGAAGAGCTTATACTGAGTTAATTGATTTCAAATGTTTAAATTCTTCTTCTTCTTTTACTCTAGTTTCTTAGGGTAGAGTTTCAGAAAATTATAAAGATGCATTTCCTTTAACTTGTTTTCTAAAGACTTTTCATGGAAAAAGGTTTGGAGACAGACATAAAGCATGTTTATGTGTACAACTTAAAACCATGATAACATTAGATCATCTCACTAATTACCTCCATTTATCATCATGTTTATGTGTACATCCTGATTTGATTTGATTCAAGAACTGACATCACAGCACTCAGGGCATTCCCATAAGCGCTCCATCCCCATCTTCAGCAGCCAGCGAAGAGTTCCGATACTAATGGTGCCAGTTGCATTCTGATTAAACGTCTGTCTTGACTTTCCTCTGAGCCTCGAGCATCTGCCAGAACCTCTTGTCACTTCCCCGTGCATTAATCTCACCAGACTGTGGTGTTCCATCTGCTCCTCCGAACTGTACATGCTCTCCCACAAGGCACTAGCCACATCCACCTTATCATGTATCAGTATACACCAAGCTGTGCAGAGCCAGCCAGTCTGTCCACCTGTTCATTTCCCAACACACCGGCATAACTCAGTAAAAAAATCCAGACAATACTCCAAACCCGTGTCCTCCGTAGCGAAGCATGCCACTCTGCATGAAGCATGCCTGTTCTGATCTTTCTCAGCATGCTTTCTGAGTTAGTTACAATCATGTTGGTGTGTGTGTGTCATGTTCTCTAGCCAGCGGAAAGCTGCAGTGACCACCTCCACCTCCATTCTTAAGCTGGATGTTATGGTATAAATAAATAAATGTGTATATCTGAAAACAACGATACCATTAGCTCATGTCACTAATTACCTATACTTATCATCATGTTTATGTGTACATCTTAATTCCATGATAACATTAGATCATCACACTAATTACCTCCACTTATCATCATATTTATGTGTACACCTTAAAACCGCAATAACATAACATTAGATCATCTCACTAATTACCTCCACTTATCGTCTTTGGTGTTATTTTTGCGAGCCTTGCTACCGGCAGCAACCTTCCAGAAATCATCTATGCAAACTTTAGCTTTACCAAACTTGGCACCACAGACAGTAAACATATGCTCCGGTTTAACACATGCATCAACTCCATCATTGTCTTCACCAGCAAGGTGAACTACTCTTCCATTTCCTAGGAAATCATTCAACAAATATAAGTATGGGTTTGGATTAAAACATGTGGATCAGACAAGACTGCTGTGTGGAAAACAATAACATTAAGGTAAGAGCTGTGTGTATACATGATACACAATAACATTTAGGTCAGAGCTGTGTGTATACATGATACACAATGACATTTAGGTCAGAGCTGTGTGTATACATGATACACAATAACATTTAGGTCAGAGCTGTGTGTATACATGATACACAATAACATTTAGGTCAGAGCTGTGTGTATACATGATACACAATGACATTTAGGTCAGAGCTGTGTGTATACATGATACACAATAACATTTAGGTCAGAGCTGTGTGTATACATGATACACAATAACATTTAGGTCAGAGCTGTGTGTATACATGATACACAATAACATTTAGGTCAGAGCTGTGTGTATACATGATACACAATAACATTTAGGTCAGAGCTGTGTGTATACATGATACACAATAACATTTAGGTCAGAGCTGTGTGTATACATGATACACAATAACATTTAGGTCAGAGCTGTGTGTATACATGATACACAATAACATTTAGGTCAGAGCTGTGTGTATACATGATACACAATAACATTTAGGTCAGAGCTGTGTGTATACATGATACACAATAACATTTAGGTCAGAGCTGTGTGTATACATGATACACAATAACATTTAGGTCAGAGCTGTGTGTATACATGATACACAATAACATTTAGGTCAGAGCTGTGTGTATACATGATACACAATAACATTTAGGTCTGAGCTGTGTGTATGATACACAATAACATTTAGGTCTGAGCTGTGTGTATGATACACAATAACATTTAGGTCAGAGCTGTGTGTATGATACACAATTACATTTAGGTCTGAGCTGTGTGTATGATACACAATAACATTTAGGTCAGAGCTGTGTGTATGATACACAATAACATTTAGGTCTGAGCTGTGTTATGATACACAATAACATTTAGGTCTGAGCTGTGTGTATGATACACAATAACATTTAGGTCAGAGCTGTGTGTATGATACACAATTACATTTAGGTCAGAGCTGTGTGTATACATGATACACAATGACATTTAGGTCAGAGCTGTGTGTATGATACACAATAACATTTAGGTCAGAGCTGTGTGTATACATGATACACAATGACATTTAGGTCAGAGCTGTGTGTATACATGATACACAATGACATTTAGGTCAGAGCTGTGTGTATACATGATACACAATAACATTTAGGTCAGAGCTGTGTGTATACATGATACACAATGACATTTAGGTCAGAGCTGTGTGTATACATGATACACAATAACATTTAGGTCAGAGCTGTGTGTATACATGATACACAATAACATTTAGGTCAGAGCTATGTGTATACATGATACACAATAACATTTAGGTCTGAGCTGTGTGTATACATGATACACAGTAACATTTAGGTCAGAGCTGTGTGTATACATGATACACAGTAACATTTAAGTCTGAGCTGTGTATACATGATACACAATAACATTTAGGTCTGAGCTGTGTGTATACATGAAACACAATAACATTTAGGTCAGAGCTGTGTGTATACATGATACACAATAACATTTAGGTCAGAGCTGTATGTATACATGATACACAATAACATTTAGGTCTGAGCTGTGTGTATGCATGATACACAATAACATTTAGGTCAGAGCTGTGTGTATACATGATACACAATAACATTTAGGTCAGAGCTGTGTGTATACATGATACACAATAACATTTAGGTCAGAGCTGTGTGTATACATGATACACAATAACATTTAGGTCAGAGCTGTGTGTATACATGATACACAATAACATTTAGGTCTGAGCTGTGTGTATACATGATACACAATAACATTTAGGTCAGAGCTGTGTGTATACATGATACACAATAACATTTAGGTCAGAGCTGTGTGTATACATGAAACACAATAACATTTAGGTCTGAGCTGTGTGTATGATACACAATAACATATAGGTCAGAGCTGTGTGTATGATACACAAAAACATTTAGGTCAGAGCTGTATGTATACATGATACACAATAACATTTAGGTCTGAGCTGTGTGTATACATGATACACAATAACATTTAGGTCTGAGCTATGTGTATACATGATACACAATAACATTTAGGTCAGAGCTGTGTGTATGATACACAATAACATTTAGGTCAGAGCTGTGTGTATACATGATACACAATAACATTTAGGTCAGAGCTGTGTGTATACATGATTAATATGTGTTTACTCATTCAGTAGGGAACCACTGTGGTGTGGCGGCTAGACGCTCGCTTGCAGACCTGAAGGGTTCGGGTTCAGGTCCCAACAGAGCTGGACTATTTTCACAAATGATCTTGGCTCCCAGGTCTACCCAGCCTTAAATGGGTATGAGGCAAACTACTGGGAAGTAAAGGTGGCCGGCATGATAATGACCAAATCTCCCACTGAGTGCCAGTTGGTCTATAAAATAAGGCCTAGCCCTATATGCCTAAAATGTCTGATGGCATGGAAGAGGGTCCTTCATTTTACTTACTAATTCAGTACCAGACACCCTCACCTGTTTTGTTTGTTTCAACCTTATTGTACTCATTTCTCCACATCTTGTGCCTCACCCACAAAGTTACACTATCCTTCTACGCCCTATGTGATAAGTTAACATTTAATTTGATTTCAGATTTGGGCTATCCTCCGAATAACGGTCCTAAATTATCTAACGCAGATAATAATCCCTAACAGGGCCCCAGTCACGTGTTAATTACGTACTTCCGGGGACTATACCGGCGCCACCGAATTGCAAACTTCCGGCGCCTTCCGCCACCTCCGAGAGTACTCCCCACGCCGCTCACACAGTGTTGAATGTTAAACTAGATGGCTAGGACTCACGAGCTAATCAAACGACGGCAGCTGCAGGAAATGTGGTAGCTGCTGCTTGTGAGTCTCAGCCATCTAGTTTAGCCCCAACCACGCCGCTTGAGTGGCGTGTGGAGTACTCTCGGCGGTGGCGGAGGTTGCTGAAAGTTTACAATTGGGCGGCATTGGAAGCCGCCGGAAGCTCGCATTTCAAGACGACGGAACTGCACAATTAAAACATGACTGAGGCCCTTTTAGAGATTATTTTCTGCGTAGATAATTTAGGACCGTTATTCGGAGGATAGCACAGATTTGATTTCATGTACAGAGCTACTTCAGATCCAAACAGTTATTAGTGTTAAAGTTTCCCATGTGGGTTCAGGAGCACTATTTTTTTAGGGAGGGACGGGGGAAGAAAAGCCGCATTGCTCCTTAACAAGCAGGTCTATAAGAAGTGACTATTTAAGGACTTGTTACAATCATAAGTGTTTGGCTTAAAGATGCAGATATCACAGCTTAGTGGTACACCACAAAATAATGTGCTTAATGTCCTTTTAAGAGCAAACGCAGAAAAAGAATTAGTGAACAAAAGTGCCTAATGGCACTCAAAAACTGACATCATGCCTTTTCTTATTTTCAAACTCAAATCAATCAATAGCACTCAATATAATTAGTCTTGTTTTCTTTTAATGTTTCTTTATGCTTGTACATTATATGATTCTTAAGCTTACTGTCAGTAACCATTGTCTAGTTATTGAAACAATTATGAAATTCTTGTTTAGAACTGTAGGTTTGACAGTTCCAGTGTTTGGATGCAGTGCCCACAGATCTATATTAATAAAAATCTTAATTTTCTGATGTCGTTGACTCAACTCAGAAACTACTGAACCGATTGCTTTCAAATTTGCACACGTTGCCTTTAACTCAAAGCGTGATTTTTTGTCATAAAATCGCACAAACCACGAACAACATAGCTCCAGCAATGGTCAAATCATTATTTGTTTCGTTGCCCGCCTGGATTTTCGAGGGGGCGGGGGGAGGGGAGGGGGGCCCTAACTGGGTGGCTGCCACGTTTTATTGTGGTTTATAGCTAGGCTGCAATATCTACGCTTTTTTTCCATTCGATTTTGGGGTTTACAGCTAGCCTGCAATAGCGGAACGTGAGGCTCAATGTTCATGTCACGGGTAATATTCATTTGCCCTTGAGAGGGCGGTTGGCACGTAGTGTTGTGGTTTACAGCTAGGCTGCAATATCTGACCTAAAGTCTTCAGTAGTAGAATTGTAAGTATTCCGACGCTTCACGCGAATGACTGGTGTTCTATTCCCCGCTGGGTGCTAATTTTTCTTTTTCCCTTAAGGGGCGATTGGCACGTTGTGTTGTGGTTTACACCTAAGTTGCGACATCTGCGCCTTACGCTCAAAGACATCCGATTTCAGTACAGTCCAAATTAGCCTCCCCTAGATGCTTCACTCGATCAAAAACTATTCGTTGATGACAGAAACTGTTAACTAAGAAGGCTTACGGTCCAGTTTGGTTTGGATGCCAAGGTTAGTTAAACATCGTCCCTTCGGAGAGGGAGATATGACGAGTGCGGGTTTTTATTTCCGCTATTTGTGAGTATTGTGTACTTTTTTTTAAATCAAGGAATATTACTGTGGGTTCCACCACTGGTTAGGTGATGTAGTTTTATGTCGGGGACTCACTTAAACAGTCCGTGGAGACAGCATGCGGCGCCAACTCCTCTGACTATAACGACCTGTACAGACAGTAGTGACCGTTTTGTGTTGTTGGTGTTGTGACGGTGGTGGTGGTAGTGGTAGCAGTAGTACTGATACTCGATGGGTGATGTGGTAGCTGTTACACTGGCCACATGTACTTCTCAGTACAGAACTGTTAGCTCAGAAAGCTTATAACTTTATTTTACAGTTCTCATTTCTTACATATTTATATTTTAATACCTGTTCCTCAGCTATTTTCATTTTCAGTTAGAGGTATAGCAGTCAGCTTTACTTTTACCTGTTTAAGCACAACAGACGCTTTAGCCTCGATAAACAAATAATCTTTTTTTCTCTCTCTAACAGTGCACTTTATTCCACCACTAATATCGACATTCACTGAT